AATATACATATGTATATTTGCAACAAGTTAAACGTATGTACAACAAAGTCTTCACACAGGCATATCATAAACACTATTTATATATATAGTTATTTTCTTTTCGTCAAAACTCCACTTAGGCCTATTAAATTACTTTAGAATTTCAGTTGGCAAGTCGAACTATTTTCTCTATATTACTATCGTACTAGTATTCTGTGTGAGATTCACCCACACTTACAGTTGTGGCACAAGTTACCGTAATTCGTTTGGTCTTCTTTCATCTGAAGATTCTTTGTTCCTTTTGTCAAAGTGTACTCAGGCTGATTAAATTACTTTAGAACTACGCTTTGACGGAATAAAATTATCCTTGTATTTTTTATACTTTTAGTTTCACTCTAACATATTAAATGTTAGGCCTATCACCTTTGAGGTACTTAAATAATAGCAAAAGAGAATATAGTTGGGTGAAATTGTTTATTGTTGTCTATTGACTGCTTCCCACTCATCTCACGCTATTTATATTTTTATTACATAGTCATCTGGCCACTTTCTATATTCTTGACACCAGTTAGTTATTAACAAAACTTTCTACAATTGTCTGCTTTTAACTCTTATTATAAAAAAAAACTTACAAATAATAAGAATGTTCACTCACAAATATAAATTAATCACTAATATTTAAACCAAACACATCATGTTTTATACCATGATAAGGACATTAAGTATTGAATGTATAGTTTCTAAGTTTTTATGTTATAAAGTATAAACTCTGATAGCCTTGTTTGCTGTATGCATGTAAAATATAAATTCTTTATATTTTAAGGCCTGTGATTATTGAGGTTCCGCATTTTGCATCTCTTCGAAGAAAAGAGCGAGAGATAACAATTTTACGCAGTGATAATGGAGAAGCCTGGCGAGAACACACACTTGAAGCAACAGAAGAAGCAGTGCAAGATGTTTTGAATGAAAGTTTCGAAGGTGAAGGTAAATATCAAGATCTTTTCTATTAGGTTATTTTAGAAACCTAGCAATAAGTTCTTACAATTTCTAAAGAGATATACTTGAATATTTCAGAATGATATCAAACTCACTTTAACCCTTTCGAGACGGGTCACGGGTGAAAGGCAATGTCATCTTGTTTGTTGACTTGCATTCAAAATTTTATTGAACTACTGTTTCATGAATTTATGTCAGTACCTTTGGTATCAAACTGTAGATTATAATTCAAATTTTAGTGCTATATATTACTCAATATCTTATTTTAAAAGCAAATATTAAAAATACAGATAAACATCAATTTTTGTGTGTGTCACATGGTATGTTGAATGCAGCACTGGTTCAAATTAGATGTTTGTGAAGTCAAAATACTAAGTCTATAGTCTCATACGAATTAGAAACTCAAATTACTGATATTGACAAGCTAGAATATATATATATATAATAAAAGCCTCTTTATTTTTTCAATTTGCTAAGATATTGCTCAGGTACTGAATCAAACATAGTGGCACAGCTCACCTCATATAATTTTGAGTAGCTAAAAAATCATAAATTACTACATTAATACCATAGAATCCCACTATAATTTATCAAGCTTAGTAAGTAATATGTATTTTTGTAAAAAAAAATATGAAATTTCGAGCAGACTAAAGACACACCCTACCTCGTTCGAATATTGTTTCAAAGGAAAGAAATGTCACCATGCCCATTAAAATGACTGAGAAAGACACTAGGGGGACATTCTGAGCTTTTGATTGGTAATTCACATGTCATATACACAAGTAAGTGTATATAAGGGACTGTTTCCAAAAATGGAAAATAAAACCTAAAAAAATATTTTGTTTCATATCCTCCACGTGCAAAATTTTTGAAGGCTTAGCAACCTGTGTCAAGCAGCAACTGAGTACAAAGGTTGTAACTAGAAGACAATTGTTTGCTTTACATCTTTATTTACTGTTCTATGTTTTAGAAAAAATAACTTTAGAAACATATTTCCAAATAGCAATAATCTATATACATATATAATGTATAATAATTGAAATGTGACTATATTTTACAAAATACTAGTCGACTAAAAAACAGCCAAGATATTTTGTACAGACCAAAGGTCACCTTTATATTATTTGATACAGTAACATGAGTGCATGTGAGCCGTGTCATTGTAACTTCTGTAATGTTAGCCAGGCACGGGTGAAAGGTCAATATAATAAAAATAATAAATATATATAAATTTATAATGTTATGAGATTTAAGCTGTTTCGTCTAAACATTTATGTTTTCGTGTTATAATTGGTGTTCATTCTAGAATGAAAGAGGCATAATTTATATTTATTTCCTAATTTTTTTATTGTGGTTGTGAGATCAGGCAAATCTATCAAACACATACAGAGATTAATTACTTAAAATAACAGATAAAATATAAAGTTTTTATTTGAGAAACATTTGATAACAATCTGAACATTATAAAGATTTTGCATGTGAAATTCCAAAATTTTCTGATGCATTAAAGTATTTTTAATCTTAAAATGAAAATTACTTTGCATGATAGATAGGTAACATGCAAAAAGAAAAAAAAAACACATGAGAAAAATATTGTTTTACAAACCTTAAGACTTAATAAAAAAATTGATATTTTGCATATGAAAGCATTTTAGTGTTTACTGATAATCTGCCAAATTTCATTAACATTCTTTTAATAATTTAAAAGTTATAGCATGAAAACTACAACAAGCACAAAATGGTTACCAGGTTGGTCCTGGGGACCGAGCCTGTGCTGTGCAATGGGCTCAGTATAAAATAATGAACCCATATACACATTTGCACTCGTTAAGTATTTATTCTGTAACTTTTTATACAGTATTTGTACCTTCACAAAATTTGGTATGCATTTGGGAACTGTTACAAGTCTTTTGTACACAATAAAAAGTCAGATTTTTTTTAATGAAGTATTTCTACTGAAGATTTTTTTTGTGAATATATTGATTCTGTTTCATTACTAGTCTGAGTGCAAAGTGATTTTCATGTTATGATTAAATATACTGTTCTCCATCCCAAAAATCTCAAATTTTATTTGCATAATCTCTAAAACCTCCTAAATACATTTCAAACGTTTGTTTCAGTAAAACTATGTTTTATCTGCTGTTTTCTTTACTATACTAAATTTATACAAGATTGGTGAATTTGACCGACCTTGTAACTACCAAAAAAAAAAACTAAATGAATCTATATTACCCTTTTTTCTTTCTAGAATAACTTTAAATTGTAACATGAAACTTCATTGGTTTATCCTAAGTAGCTTTAAACTCGTAACAGTATACATCAATTTAAAATTAAATTTTATTGTTTTATTGCCCATTTTGATTTCCATTTGATCCATTTCTAACAACTGTTCTCATCATTATAAATCGTAAATCACTTGAAAAATGTGCATCTCATGTTATGCTATCGAATTACCTTACCCACTAGCTACACCCCAATCTGCTCGATTGCATGCCTCAAGAAATATTTTTATTATATTATTATTATTCATTTTACCTAGTATAACTTAAATAACCTAAAGAGACCCCCTATTTTTACATTTTAGTTACTTATATAATAATACACAAAGAATAAACAAGAAATAAAGAACTTACTCGAATCTTCATTTTTATTGCTGTCGATGACACTTGACCCTACTAATGGTAGTAATCCTCTGAATAATTTTTATTTCTGGCTTTCTAACTATGCGACAAGAGCTGTTACAAATTCATCCAAGCTAGTTGTTACCTTTCCTGAGGGAACGAAGCTGTACTACAAGTGAAATTAAGATTATGTGTTAAGAGCACAATGTAATATGATACTTTATTTGATAGATGAAAACCTTGGCTTTCTATTGTTTATAGGCAATATATAATTAGACATAAGAGAGAACTATTAACAAATCCTGAATGAGAGGATGTGACAGGTGGATGTGGCAGGAGGGGTCTGATTTTCTATTTGATAGCTCTGTAACCAAACAAAATTGAAGGCTATAAAAATTATGATTTGTCTCTGCAATGACGATTTTATAGTGAGTAATTTACACTTAATTTCATAGTTACTGGGAGGGATAAAATAAAATGGAGAAGATACCTAGAGAAAATGTATCACATGATTCACACTAGGGGAAGTTCAGGATTTTTTAAAATATTGCCATATAGAATTAAGAGTTTAAAACTTGTATACTATTAAAATATGGATTATATACTAATTGGTATAACATAAACAAAAAGTAGTTTTATAAAATTTTGAATGTAAGACACTAAAATCTTGTGTCATGCACAGTAAAGGATATCCATGGCAATAGGGTTAATATTATTTATTTTACCTAATCTAATTTTAACTAACCTAAAGAGGTTCCTGTTTTACAGTTTAGTTATTTTTGTAATAATAAATAAAGAATACACATGAAAAACAAGAAATAAAGTACTTACCTGGCCCTTCTTTTTTCCTGTCGACTGTCAATGACACTTCAGCCTACTTTTTTTATACTAATGGTAGTAGTGCACTAAATAATTTTTATTTAATTAAATAATGCACTAAAGAATGTAGAATTAAATATGCAAAAAGCAGACAAGGTCCCCAAACTATCACAATTTTTCTGGCTTTCTAACTATGTAACAAGAGCCGTTACAAATTCATTCAAGCTAATTTATATGTTTCCTGTCAGAACAAAGCTTGTACTAAAAGAGAAATTGACAATTCTCTGCTCAGAAAACAATATAATAGATCACTGATAGATGAAATTCTTGGCTTTCTATTAGTTATAAATAATATAGTATTAAAAGTAAGAGAGAACTATCAAGAAATCCTAAAAGAAAATATATGACAGGTGGGTGTGGCAGGAGGGGTCTGATTTTATATTTGAAGGCTATAAAAATTATGGTTTGGGTGAACAATGATGATTTTATAGTGAGTAATTTACATTTCATGTCATCGTTACTGGGAGGTGGTGGATAAAATAGAGAAGAGAATATACCTAGAGAAAACGTGTCATGTGTGTAACACTAGGGGAAATTCAAGATTTTTTAAAATATTGCCTTATGAAATTAAGAACTAAAAATATGGATTCTTATGCTATACTAATTGATATAACATAAAGAAAAAGTAGTTTAATTTAATTTTGAAGGTGACTCAATAAAAAACTTCAAGACGTGCACAGTAAAAGATGCCAGTAGAGCGAGGGTTAAACCTACTGTTGTTGAAATTTTTATGAGTAAGTTTGTACACTGTTAGGTAATGTACTGTAAAAGTTAATGGTTTGGATTTTTTTGAGCAAGTATGGTGTTTAGAAAAAACAAAATAAAGTGCTATAAATAGATTTTGTTAGTTTAAACAGTTTCATGTACACTAAGACATAAATTAATTTAAACCATCGTCTCAAATATCAACTTCATTTGTATAGTTTATAGAACTCAAACATTGAGTGAAATCATTATAATTATACCACAAAAAACATCATTATTTATTTTTAATCTTATGATATATTATGATATATTAGTTTCAGGATTTTAAAAAAAAATTTCTTTGTTTTGTAGAACTGAATGCCCTTCAGGATCTTAACACAAACCGCATTACCCAAATTTTGACCACAGACTTTCCACAGTATTTTGCCATTATCACACGTGTAAGACAAGAAGTTCATGCTATAGGACCAGAGGGAGGAATGGTCAGTTCTACAGTAGTTCCTCAGGTCCAGGCAATCTTCCCAGAGGGAGCACTAACAAAAAAGATTAAAGTTGGACTTCAGGTAAAACTCCATGGTAGTAATACTGGAGAATAAATTTTATATCTGTAACAAAAAATATTCACAAATACATTCTGTTAACATACCATATCAAAATTGTCAGATCCTCCTTAAGAACATTCTTATTTTTGAAAAAATATAAAATCCTTTTGATTTTTAACATTCTCCAAAACTGAGTTTGGATTTGTGGCAGCATTATTTTTTAGAAAATTTCAAAGGGAGAACTGTTTTCAAGCATGTGTGAAATATTTTAAAAGAAAAGTACAAAAGCCAAAAACAGTTTCACTGGAGTATTGATGTTTAAAATGCTTTTTTTCATCTTACCATTTTCATAGTTCATTTACTTAACCTCTGAAACCTCCTAAATGAATATCAAAAACTTATTCTTTAATAAAACTTTATACCTCATCTTTTATTTTCTTTACATTAACACTATCTTTAGCAAAACCATCTGTAGCAAAAGTTTGAATATATGAAATTAACTCAACAGGACTGTTTTTTTTTAGAATGACTGCAGATTGTAACAAACAATTATACTTTTTATGGTAACAGTTTCAGGCCTCTAACTACTAAGTTACGGTAAAGAGAGTATTCTCTTACATCATTGATGAACAGCTTACATGTATTCCTTGTTGAAAATGTTTTTTCATTTAAATTTTTTTTGTCTAGCATAATAATTTTATGATTTTTACATTTGAGTTACTTAATAATAAATAAAGTATTTGTAAAAAACACGAAACCTAGTACTTACATCTGAATCTTGTCTTCTTGTTTTTTACTCATAACAGCCCACTAATCCATTTTTTGTAATGCTGGCATTGTCTCACAAATGATTTTTTTAAAATTTCAGATGCACAGTTTATAAAACAAAATATTGTTATGCACAAAACATAGGATATCCTAAAACTGCTATAATTTTACTGTCTAACTAAGCTTTAAAGCTGAATTTAGACAATGGCAAAAAAAAGAAATTGAGACCAAATTTTCCAAAACCTGTTGGCTGAATAATCTAGCCTCGTAGAAAACTCAGTAGAATCTTCTCTTTCTGTTGATTATAAGTAAGCCAACAGCAAATGTCAGAGAGAATTATTGACATTTTTTGAAAGATAGGATATGATAGGAGAGGGCTGACGTGTGCTTCACTTATTTGTTAGTATTTCAATAAAGCAAGAAGCTTGGAAGATAGAAATTTACATTCTAACTTGAGAATACCTATAGTAAAAATGTGTAATTTATAGGAAACTTAGAAGATGCATTTAAGGGTAGAAAGAAAATCTGAAATTAGAAATTCAGAGCACAGAAGTGTCTTATGATACAGACAAGTGAAAACTGAGAATTTATTTACATATTTCCTTTTGAAATTGATAATAAAACTGTTTCATTAAATTTTTAATGTAACTCTGGAAAAGGTTATAACATGCACACTTTGAACCCCACCCATGCACATAAGGCTAATAAAAATCTTATACTGGATGTAGTTGCAACAATAGATTTATTACAAACCTGTTTGTATTTGCTTTTTTTAAGAACTTCAGATAACCTTGGCAAATAGAAATTTATGTATATATATATATATATATATATATAATATATATGTTCAGTAATATTTCAATGAATTTTCCTGGTTAAGGGTGTATTCACAGGTGTTCAAGATTTTGACATTGTAGCTAATTTTAAGAATATTTTATATGTAGTAATGAGAATTACTTTTATGCTAAACTTTTACTGTACGTTTTTGGGGAATGTTTTGTGAAACTTCAAAAATTAGTCTAGAAACCAAACAGCATTGTAATTGTAACTGATTTTTAACACTTGGTATATGTGTAGCTTCAAATTTGGTGAAACCAGAACTGTCTGTACATGAACAAAGTACAATCAATAATACATGTGAGCTGAGATTAAAGATAATTGTTTTTGTTTGCTTGAAAACATTATACAAAATATTTTTGTGTATATTTTAGGTATTAATATTAACTTCTCATTGGAGCAAGCTACCTACTTAGATCAAAACTGAAAATCAACCTGTTAATGAGTATAGCTAATTTAATATACTTTTCTTACGTTTTTATTTACAAAGATTAGAATGCATTGTTTTATAATTTGGGTACTCTAACTGTTAATGTCATTTCGGCTATAGTTAAAATATATTTTGCAACTTTTAACAAATCAGTTCAAGTTTAAAAGCCAAACCTTTCAGTTAAGAAATTATGATAGTAATGATACTTTCATAAATTTAAATAGGTACAGAAAGTTAAGAATTATTTCATTTGTCAGAATATGTTGAAGACTCTTCTTGTAATATATGTGTGTGTGTGTATTTATTTTATATTTCCAAGTAAGTCAACAGAGCCTTTTGACCTTCTTGCTACAGGCACATCTGAGTGCATATCTAATGATTTTTGAGAAAGTTACATTCAAAACTTGTAAACTACTTTGTTCTCATTGTATATGACTAAACTTGTCATAAAAATGTAGTTAATAAATCAGAATTCCAATATGGTACACTACCTTTTCTCACATATATAGCTATTCTCGTTCAGTGCTGCCCTCTATAGGCAAACTTTTTTTCACATGCCACAAGCTGTGCACTTCCACGTACTACAAGATTATTGTGGTTCAACTGTGTCTTGCATGCAAATCATCAAGTGACAACCCTCCAACAACAGGAGCACGACACACCCTCCTGTTACATGTGACTCCCTCTATTCGGTTCTATTGAACTATCACTTCTCATTAGGCAGTGCTATAGTCAAGATGTGTTTTGATTGTTCTGTTGTCACACATTTTTCTTTCTAATTTTCTCATGCAACGTGGAAAGATCAGTTGTATCTTTTACTACTGTTTTAATTTTTAAATTTTTCATTGATAATTTCCCTTGGTTATTCTTAATTTTTATTTGAATAATTTTCAAATTATCATCATTTTATGAAGAATACCAAAGTTAATTTTATCATTTTTGAGGTTCTACTACCTGCTATCAGCACAATTACACAGGCTTTAGGTAGGGAGAACTCGAGTGAGGAATTTTTGAGTTTAATTCTTCGGGAGATTGAACATTATCTGAGTTGACCTTCTTCTCCTGACAGTACTAAATTTCCATCTCAACCTGCCGAACCTGCTCTTGATGACGAGGATTTTGACAGCCTTTTTCTGATTATGCTGTGCTTTCTCATGCTTATCCTGTGGAATCTGCTTGGCCTAATTCAGCCTTTTTTAGACATTATTTCTCAGGTCTGTTCTGTTTTATCCATTTCCTCAATTTCTTACAATCCTGCTCCTTCCTTATTACTTCCTTATTACATAACACCTCCTTCCTTCCAGTATTTTGTTTTCTCTCCTCTTCCTGATGTCAGAGTCAATGCTGAGCATTTTGTTTCTCAGTTTCTCTGTGGGCCACGGATCAGTTTGCCTTGACTTACCATTTGGCAGATTACCTCTTTTTTTATTCTCAGCAGCCAGTATGTTCATTTATCCCTGACCCAATTTTCCCACCTTCATCTTACCCTGTGGTACTTGTCCACCATGTTCCTTCTTTCTGAGGCACTCCACCAATCTTCTGATGGACTTTTGGGGGATACCTTCTCCCACCTTACCTCTGTGTTGGCACAATTGTCCTTTTTAGCTCTCTTCACACATGGTTTCTTTGCTGTTGGGAACTTCTTGGGAGAGATGCTGTCTTGTTCGAGGTTTGTTTGTTTTTTGTAGATAGCTCCTTTTCTCCAATGGTCCATTTTGGAGAATATTCCTGAAACTTTGAAATCACATGTGGAATTTGTGAGGAAACATTCAACCTTTTCATCCTTGGTTGCTTGTTTGTCTCACCCTAGGCCCTTGCAATCCCTTGTTCCAGTTCCACATCTGATACCCTCCCATCCTTTAGCTATTCCTCCCACTAGGGGCTCCACATTGCCTTGTGTTTATTGATGCAGGTCTCCTTGCCACCAACAGTACCGGTGACTATCCTGTGAGTTCTGGTTCACTGGCCACTTGTTTGACCAATGTTTTTGTTCCCATCTGGTGGGAATTCACTTCCGATTTTGGGTTCTTCAGGTCTTGTCAGAAGGACTTGTCATTCACTTCCTTTCCTCATCCCCATTGTCTCCCATACATATATCCTTTCTGTTACCTCAGCATTCTACTACCAGCCAACATCTGTCAGAGGCAGTACAGACTCTTCTATCACAAAGAGTTATTAAGACTGTCAGCAATCCTTTTCCAGGTGTTTACTTCAGACTGGAGTCCTGTGATTGATCTGTTCTGCCTCAGTCAATTTCTGGACCTTCCCCATTTTCCAATGTAGTCCTTTCTCACTCTAAGGTGGGCTTTCTCTCTGAGATTGTGAATGACCAAAGTAGATGTTTCGAATACCTATTTCTCCTTGGTGCAGATGCTATTTTTGGTTTGTCCATCACAGGGTTGTATACCAGTTTTGCACCTTGCCCTTTGGGCTTGCTTCAGTTCTCTTTGCCTTTTGTTGGGTAATCAAAGCATTTGCCCAACTTATGAATACTCGGGGGGGTTGTGCTTACAACACTACTTGGAGGACTGGATTCTGTTAGATCATTCTGAAACAGAATCTTCACCTTATACTCATCTACTTCTGTCAAAAGCTGCTTGAATGGGTTGGTTTATCAAGTTGACAAAATCTTTCCTGCCCCTTACCCAATACCTTGTCCACTTGGGGTCTTTTTCAACTCCAATCTCAGTTGGGTCCAACCTTCTCATATTTAATAATGGTTGGAGTCTCTTATTTGACTCCATTCAATAAAGCTTTTAGTTCTTCATGCTCTTGATGCTCCTTTTATTACTGCTCTTGAGGTTATATCACTTTTGGGGATGTGTGCTTTTCAGGAAGCACTTGTTTCCTTGGGTTGGGTACATATGCAGTCTTTTCTGTGGACTTTGCACAACCAATGGAATCTTGCTCAGGATCCCTTGGATTCTCCCATTTCCCTTCTTCCTTCCCTTGTTGATGATCTGCATTTGTGGTTGAATAAGGTCCA